GGACCGACAATGAGCGTGGTGCTGACATATCTGACTGGTCGGACTCAGACTCGGATGCGCAGTCCTCGAAACTGTGGTGTTGAGCTAACTCGGCTTCCATTTCTTGAAAGCTGGCCTGGATACGAGACGCTGAATCCTCGATGCAACAAAGCTCAACGTTGACGGAACAAATGTCCTTGAACAAGTCTATTCCGCGCAGGTTTGAATCAGCCAAAGTGAATGGAAGGTAAGTCGTTGTACGGCGAGCAGTGGAGAGACGAGCGAGAGTCGCAGGATCGACGAAGTGTGCGATATCCCACCCCTGACCGGTCAAGTTCTCCTCCAACCAAGGTATCCGGTCCTCAGGAATGAGATATCTTTTGTCCGAAGGAAGTCCTGCCAAAAAGAAAAGGTTAGTTAGACCTGCAGAAACACAACACACTATATTTCAAAGACATAAATATGTATACCAGGTTTTGGGCCAAACGCCGACGGGATAGGCATATTAGACATCTCAGGCGCCGCTCACTCCCTAGTGATTAAGATAGGTTGGTTTTTCCAATACCTGGTGGAAGTGGGCTTACAAGTAAATACCTTTTTACCAGCCCCAAACGTAAAAATAAAATAGTGACTTTTCCCCCTAACACAAGCCAAGTCATAGAGGTAAATGAAATCCTTAAAGCTAAGGGACACACCCCACTTCAAGCCAACTTCCAGAAACCTAAATACGAGAAGGTAAGAATTCGGGTTTAGTTGCATGGGTGAAGATTCAAGAAGAACAGGAGCATATGAAAGAGAGGATGGAGCGGAAACCTAACATGCACTAAGTAGGCCGGCGAAAGAATTAAGGAACTCTGGGGCATACCGGCACCGGGGTACATATTCGACCCAAGAGGAAGATGACCAATCCCTACGTTGTCGGGAACACATCCCTTGGTGCGAGCCTTAAGTATCTCATAGTTCGGTGGAACACCACAGGATTTAGGCCAAATCTCGTGGCTCGACATGAAAATAGCAAAGATGAAAATAGTACTTACTGGGTGGTGGCAAGAACAAAGAACCCTTCGGCAGAGCTCTCAAACGCATAGAACACTTCCCTCTCTTTTCGAGCCTAAAAGCTTATGTATGAGGAACACGAGCAAATGGTTTTGCGAGCGAATGTACCCCATCACCTGAACTTTTATAGCAGGGGCAAATATTGGGAAAATAATTCACAAGAGTCACAGGAGAAAGTTTGTCAAAAGCAAAGAGAGGGTTGGATGTGGCCGGCTCAGATATTTGCCTTTGGCTTTGACAAGAAAACCTGGTCTGATATGACCACTTGAAATTATTTCTACCCCAACGCATGTGCTCCCTTGGTGGAAAGCTGCGTGTACTTTGACAAAAGACAAAGAAGAGCAGCCGAGGTAGGCAATAAGTAGTGCAAGGTACTAAGTACACCTACGAAGCTTGGCATGTTCACCCATTCACGCAAAGATTTGAGCATGGAAAGTTGAAGCACAAGGAAAAAGGAAAGAAAAGGACCCAAAACAAAAACAAAAAAAAAAAAAAAAAAAGGTTCGTGAACTCCTCGGATTATTTGAGAAACCAGAGGTGCACGGATTCGGAAGGACATCTAAGGGGTACTGCGGCCCGAATCGATAGTTGAAGCGCAAGGAAAAAAAGAAGGAAAGAAAGAAAGAAAAAAAATGGGTTCGTGAACTCCTCGGATTATTTGAGAAACCGGAGGCGCATGGGTTCGGAAGGACATCTAAGGGGTACTGGGGCTCGAATTGATAGCTGAAGCACAAGAAAAAGAAAAGGGAAGGAGACAAAACAAAAAACAAAAAACAAAAAGTTGCAAACACCTTGGATCGGTTGAGAGACTGAAGGCGCACGAGTTCGGAAGGACAACTAAGGGGAACTGAGACCCACTAGATTGGAGAGAGCTCAAAACCAAGATGAGATCGACCAGGAGAGAGATACCAATGATTGGCCAGGAGCACACCCCAATCCACGTGGGATTGGTCAGAAGAGAGAAACAAAGTATGGGACCCACCGAATTGGCAAAAGCTTAGAAGCATACCCCAACCCATATGGGATCGGCTAGGAGAGAGAAACCAAAGATTGGCAAAAGCTGGGGATGGGATCGGCCAGGAGAGAGAAACCAAGGATTGGCCAGGAGCACACCCCAATCCACGTGGGATTGGTCAGGAGAGAGAAACCAAGTATAGGACCCATCGAATTGGCAAAAGCTTAGAAGCACACCCCAACCCATATGGGATCGGCCAAGAGAGAGAAACCGAGGATTGGCAAAAGCTAGGGATGGGATCGGCCAGGAGAGAGAAACCAAGGATTGGCCAAGAGCACACCACAATCCACATGGGATTGGTCAGGAGAGAGAAACCAAGTATGGGACCCATCGGATTGGTAGAAGCACACCTCAACCCATATGGGATCAGCCAGGAGAGGGAAAAGCACACCCCAATCCATATGGGATCGGGCAAGAGAGAGAAAGCAAGGATTGGCAAAAGCTTAGAGGCACATCCCAATTCATTTGGGATCGGCTAGGAAAGAGAAAGTAAGAAGCATGGGCCCACCGGGTCGGCAAAGGTGTAGAAATCCAATATAAAGAAAAGGGTCCACTGCATGGGATTGGCTGTCCGCATTCAGATATTCCAAGGGATAATAGTCCACAGTTGAAACTTGAAAAGCAGCGTGCATGAAAATTCACATTTGGATATTTCACATGCAAGCTGTGGGAGCAACATGCATGAGTTGGCGATAGGCCAAAGGGAATCACATTTTTGGGCTTGACCAGCAAGCCCAAGAAAGAAAACGTATGGCATATTTTGGGCGCAGTCATGAGTGGCGACATGCGCTCAATCCAAAAAAATCATATTCCAAAGTCCCAATTAGATCATTTTTCCCTTTCCACCCGCGAAGCGTGTAGAGAGGAAAAAAAGGGGGCACTACTGTGGTGGCCAAACCTAACGCATCATGGCCTAACCCATATGCCACAACTAAAAGACGTGGGATGATCGAACTTCCCTCCCACTAGAGGAGTGCGGAACAAGGGAGACGCAAGTCACTCATCTGATCCCATTACCACGAAGTGGAGGATGGGATGCGCAAAGCTAGGGAAGTGGGGTTAAACCCAAGGCCTCGGAGTGCTATAAAAACCCAACTAGACCTCCAGCAAAGGTACGTGAAACCCAATTGAAAACTAAGAGTACGCTGTGCAAACACTGACTTGAGCGTCGGAGTGGCTTTTGCAGGTACTCACCCCATTTCCATCGTTCGACTTCGGGAACGCAATCCGGAGTTCTCTTTCAACCAAGGAAACGTGCGGACTTTAGTCAAGAACCTGTGGAGGTATTTCTTCTTGAAAGAAATCCTGCTCCAACAGATAAGAATATTGAACGGGGTGGGAATTACCATTTGTCTGCGGTTACAACCAAGAGTCAATTCCGCAAATGAACTTTCTAGACGGGACAAGAAACAGTAAGGGGCCTCCTTTCCCCAGAACACCTTCGAGTGTGACCTTAGCATGCTCTTTATATCATTTGATATCTTGGAAATCTTACCCAAATCATTCATTTGCAGGGGAATTTTGGTGACGATGGCACGCCATTGCGCACGTGACTTGTTCACAATTGCCTACAAAGTTTACATGAAACTTCTGAGATATATCGTGACAAAACATTCTAAATGGATAAACCAAGCCACTACTATATTAATGTTAAACCATACCCAGGCTGATAGTGGTACAATGAACTTAGGTGATTTTAACTTTAAAACGGGATTGGTGGTTTTCAGTATAATGGGTGCCCATGTTTAAGTATTATGCAAAAAAGAGAAACACCAACCTGACTCGAAAACAGTGAATTCGGAACTATGACAGGGAGCTTCTCTGCATTCAATAACGAAGTGGTAGTAAGTCCCATTTCCACAACTTGACCTTCTATAGCTCCAGCCTGCAATAAGTAAAATTTTTAACATCATGAAGAAAAGAAATACAAAAAACAGGAAGCAGATATTACATTAGATATCACAAAAATTACCTGAAATCATTGAGTCAGAACAAATACACAGAAGGTATAACGTTTATCCAATGAATGACAGCTCCTATAATAAGTCTATGATTATATTTGGCTAATAATTTATACATCTGCAGAGGAAGTTATAACAAATAAAAAATAAAATTAATTGGTTGAATTGCAATCTGGAAAGTATCATATCTTCATTTCCAGAAGCAAGTGTTATTATAATCAATGAGGGGTTTGAGATCACTGTACAATGTACGGTGTAGCCAACCAAGGGATGACTGAAAGATGCCCGAGACTTAGATTTAAGAAAAGATTACACAATTATGTAACAGTTAACAAATAAAGATAATTAACTATGTAACTCTACTCTGGGTATGCAGCGCTGACATGGTTATTCATACGACCTTGAATATTTCCTTAATCTCATTATGTTACTACAAATTTGGAGAAACAAAGACACCCATGTTACAGTTCTCTTACTAGAAAAACAAGAAAGGAAACGTATGCTTGAGAAACATTTTGCCTATGACAGAGAACAAATGGAATTGAGGAACACATAGCGTAAATGCATGATAACATACTTTTATTGTATCCCCAAGCGAAAAGGGATTTGAAAACTGCATAGAGAAACCACTTAGAACATTTCCAAGGACGTCTCTGGCAGCAAAAGCAGTAGCAAATCCTGCATTAAGTGCGGCGGTGAAAAAGTCAAGTCTTAATAAGACGAGGTCAATCCCAACAAGAGCATCCAAAAATGAATCTTTAGTGTAGTGTGGGTGATACATATAATCATATGACCAAAAATCAAGAGATGCAACCTTTGGATGTAATCTAATAACCTCATTTGCATATTACAACAAAAGATGCATTATAAAGATAGCTAATTTAAAATTTTATTTGCAGACTTTTCTAACTGTCATGGATGAAATAGATATGAAAAAGAATATGCAATTAGGAGCTAATCCTCACCTCCTATGCCACCAACTGTAAGAATTGATTGCACAGCCACCCCACATGCCTCAGCTAAAGCCATTATCCCAATCACAAAAAGACCAATGGATGAAATGTTATCTATAGCTAGCAACTTGTCCCGATCAAGACCAGGCAAACTTTGAGTCGCTAATACACGAGTGAACATATTTGTCTTCCACCATTGCAGAAACCACACAAATGAAAGGATAACTGCACCTCTCCATGCCGGTGCAAGATACTGAGAAGCTATAGTCGTCAGTGCTACGAGTATGCCACTGCAAATAAAAGTCCCCCTCGTTGTTTAACAGTGGAAAACAAAAATGCATATATACAAATAAAAATAGGGTGATTATGAAGCATATCTTTGAACTTGAAAACACTAACATTTGTGAAAATGCCATGAAAGTAACTAGATGTCGCACTGGATCCTCCAAAGCACCCCAAAAACTTTTCTCATATGGAACTGGCTCCTCAGATAGGCTTCCTGATAGTAACGCAGTGCGCCCTTGACTTGCATACTTGTGAAATCTCCTGAAAAGCCTTGGCATCACCAGCCAAGCAAATATAGTACCTGCCAAAGTACAACCAACAGGAACAACCACATTTCTAAGATGGGCGTAGGAATCCAGCAACTGCTGAACATAAGAAGACAGCTCAACAGAGGTTTCTTTAGTCTTCTGTCCAGAATAAGTTGCTGCATCCACAGCACTCTGCCATGCATCCTTAACCTTAGCAACCCAATCACGGCCAACAATACCACTATTACCAATATCCACTTCACTGCCACCAGAAGCAGCTGGAACTCCTAGTCTTGTTGCCCATTTTATCCACAATCCCAACGGAATAAGTGCAACAACAACAACAAGAAGAAATATTACTACGACCGACAAGTTGCAGTAGTTGTTGAACAAATTGCCAATCCCAACAGACCAGCTTTTGTCTGAATTAATTTCATTGTAAGAAATGACGATTCTTCTACGGCTCGCTCTTCCTAGCCAGAAATTGTTCATCATGTCCTTAAAACCAACTTCTTTGGCTTCTGATGATGAGATAGAATTATATGTAACGATCAAGGAATCACTAGTTCTCTGCCTTCTCCTCACCCTCCTCAGGTTCGTCTCCATCGGTCTGAAAGACAAAATACTTCTACACAATGAAAAATAGCAGAAGAATGAGAATATGATAAAATAAAAAAAGGGACGAGAGGAACTGACAAGGATAAAAGTTTAGAAAGAGAACCAACAAAAAAAGAAGATGGATTAAATAAATAAAGATGGTGTTTGCAAAATTCTCTCCCTCCTCACTCCATTCGCAGTAAACCTCCCAAGCATATACTTAAATCAACCAAAACACTCAGTATATCAATTATCAGCAAATAACAAACAAGTTTTCTAACAAAAATCCTCAACAACCAAATCACACGCTACTCTTCAAAAAAATAACAACAAAAAATCCTCCAAACAATTAATGGAAATCTAAAGCGCCAACCAATGCAATAAAAAACAACAGTCAACTACCAATAAAAAAACAATTTGAGACGAGAACTCACAGAAAATCGTAACAGGATTATATCTAAAGGAATATGATCGCGGAACACAACGAAGACGTTGTGATGGGGTTAGCTTTGTCGGCTATCGTGTGGGTGGGGTGAGAGCTGAGAGAGAGAGGAGACAAAGAAGAAAGAGGAGCGGAGAAGATGGAGGGAGACACAGAGATCGATATACACGCGCAAGAATAATATGTTTTTAATTTAAAATAATTAGGTGGTCAACACGCACAGACGCATGCAAGTTCGGTATTTCAAAAGGCCCATTCTTTTTTACTTAGGGCTCTCCTTTTTCATTATTTATACTGGCCCTTGGCAATTGGTGTTTTTTAAATGTTTTATTATTTTATTTTAGAATTTAAAAAGAGGCAAAAAGTATAAATTCCTTTACATATGTGATTCAAAACACGTGATTCTGTTCTGGAAGGGAGACTTTGTAATGCACCAAACATGAGTGAGTCTTAATTTCCTCCTAGTGAACTACAGTGTGAACCCTACCTTTCCAGTGGGAAACCCTGAATTTGAGATCAAAATTCCTTTTAACAGATGATAATGTTGCCTCTTTTACGTCAATATGTAGAGAATAGCTAGGTGGCTCCCCCAGTTGAAAATTTGTTCTGTTCCCATATGCGCATGAACATGCAAACACATATACATAATATATTGATAGGTCACTTTCGGATGCAATTTCTCAGGAAAATGATTTCCTCGTGCCTCTTGATTGCTGGAACGCATTAACAAAACTTGATTTATTGGGAAACAATTTTGTCACGCTTCCGGGATGCATTAGTAACTTCGTCAAGATAGAAGGGGTTTGGAAAGTGTTAGGCCATCCCAATGGGGGCTCTAAAGTGGGCTGCACCACCCTTGGGTTGTAATATATAGCAACTGAAGCAAAAAAGTCATCCCAGTGGTTCAGTTTTGGGGCCTTAAATGATTGAGCCCTACTGGAGCTATACCCAGATTTATGTTCATGGTTGAAGCCCCTGAAACCGAATGGGGCCCACATGAAGAAAAAGCTACCAACCCATATGTGTTGTTGGTGACCTGCTTTGTAACTGCAGCTCATGATACTCTCTTCTTGACCAATGAAGAGGGGATGGGCTAGATGGGTTTGTTTTTGTGTGTTTTTGACGGATGAGGCTTTTTTTTTTTCAATGCAACAATCAAGTATTTGAATTTTTTTATTTTATGAAATGTTCACCCAAAAAAAAACTAACATGCTATAATATACATTAAAGCAAATAATTTTTATTATTTTAAAAATAACATGTATATAAAATTATATTTATTATAGAGTTCTAGATAGAGTCCTTCTGTTGTGAGAGTGATTCCTTTATAGCCTCAAAGATTCCATCGGAGCCCTTAACGAGGCTCTACCAAGCTCTTTTAAAGTCCCAACCATTGAGGATGACCTAACAAATTTGGAAATCAAGCCCAATTGTTGCCAACAAGATCCTTGGACCACTAGCCATCTGGTCCAGCCTATTTGGTACAAAATATAAGAAGGAATGCCTTTTATTTTAGGGATGTATAATTGTTCTTAATTAAGAAATCCAAAAAAGAAAAGAAAAAGAAAGGGCTCTCTCAACTCACTCTCTCATGTAGGGCAAGAGAGGCAAGGCAATCACTCGAAATCCTACGTATCATGCAAACTCGTTACTAGACATATTATGTTGTTCAATAATGATTGGTATAATGGTTATTTTTATCTTATTAGCTTTATATAAAAATAAGACTAATATATTTCACCAAAAAGGGGATAATATACAAATAAAATACTGATGAAATTATACCAACGAGGTAAAGTTAAGTGGAAAAGACCCTTAATTTACACACTAATGATTTCATGTTCAAACCTCTATGACACTCTGGTATTGTGTAGGAGAAACCTCCATTTTTTGCGTTAATAATTTAGACGGTTGATTGTATTCTAAAAAAGAAGATGTATATGGCATATGGATGGCCGCAGGTCATCCCACTGGAGCAGGGTCAATGCCCTTCTTCCCAAAAGGTCGTATACCTCAAGGTCATCAATCGCTTACTGCTTGTTGTCTCTCCCTCTCACCTTGAGCTCTGGAGCTCTTCCCAGGTATATTTTTTGTGCATATATGCGTGTATTTTCAGTATAGTTTGTGTGTGTACGTAATTATATGGGGGTTTTTCTGTGTTTCCTTTTTATTGAGATGGATATCTTTGCATTAAAGACTCAGATTTGCGATAACTAATCAGGCCGGCTTTATCAACAGCCTAAAATCCACTTGAATAGTAATGCATGAATATTCGGAGTGGCTCCCCCAGTGGAGTTAAATTAGGGGTCATTATATTGCATGTCAGAAAACTTACTGGTAAAACTACAATTCCTCTTTCAAATGCGTATTGCTCTCTGCTGGACTCTCATTCTCCACTCTCTTTTTCTCATTCTGGAGCTTCTCCACAACTTCCTCCAATGGAGGATCTCCAGGTCTTCGAAAAACTTGTTTGCCGATCTTTATTTCTTGGATCTCTGGTTGGTTCAACACAAACTCCTCACATTGCATGTAACAAAGCAACTTATATAGCTGTGTTCTATTGTTTTCCACTTCAGATTCAGAGTCCTTAAATTCTTTGTTTCCCAAGTCATTTTCTGAATCATGATTATCTTCTAAAACAACTTGAGAACTCACGTTGAGGTCCACTGGCATTGATTCTTGTCCGACATCAATCGATGGAGCTTGTTGATTGCTTACTTTACCCTTCAATGTAATGCACAATGGAATCTTGTAGGAACTTGAAAGATTTTCAAAAATAAAAGTTCTCACCCCATCATCATCGGCTATCTCTGTCGGCAATGCAGTTTTCATTACTTCATATATAACTTTCATAGTTATCTCATACTCATTTGGGTCCACATTCACAATGTTGTACACTTTCTTCTGAATCTCCTCCAATGTAATTTTATCTGAAACGAGTACTCTTTTAGTTTTGCAATTTTCGTACATTGAGTTAACCCACCTCCCATCATACTTAATTAAAATTGTCAATCTAGACATTTCACTGAAAAATAAACCAAAAGAAAAAGTTAATAAAAAAAAAATAGCAGACACATTCACTAAACAAGATTCTTACCCTAGAATGTCGACATGAAAAAATAAAATTGAAAAAGCTATTTAGCTATGGAACAAAAATGAAATTAGAAAAGCTAGTTAGCTATGAAACAAAAATGAAATTAAAAGATAGCAGAGATATGATATGTCTACGATGAGATCAAATATAAACTTTATATTACGTACTAAGTTGAATGTAAAAGTATTAACGAAGCACAACATCATACTCTATAGCAAAGCCCATGTCTGCTTGCTCCTTTCCAATAATATGCAATCTGCACAGAGGCATATACAAAATCTAATTTTCCTTTTTTAACTACCAGTCAAAACCAAAGAAGATTCATGACAAGGCACTCCCATGAACCTTGCCCTGACAAATGACATGCTAAAAGGCTAAAGAAGCAAAACAAAAACGAGAATACATATTAAGCATACGGAGTTTTTAAAACTTGTTCTAAGTTGGAAAAAAGAAAAGAAAAGCTGCATAAAGAAGAAGAAGATGAAATAATACGTACCCTTGAGTTAACAACGTTGTAGGTCTTGTTTCCCATTGTGTCCAGAATCCCAACAGAATAAGTGCAGCAACAACAACAACAACAACAAGAAATATTACTACGACCGACAAGTTGCAGTAGTTGTTCGACAATTTGCCAATCCCAACGAACGAGCTTTCGTCTGATTTAATTCTATTCCCATCAATGACGATCCTTCTGGGACACCTTGTTCCTCCCACGAAATTGTTCATCAAGTTGTTACAACCAACATGTTTGGCTTTTGATGCTGAGATATAATTATTTTTAATGATCAAGGTATCCATCGGTCTCAAAGACAAAATACTTCTACACAATGAAAAATAGCAGAAGAATGAGAATATGATAAAATAAAAAAAGGGACGAGAGGAACTGACAAGGATAAAAGTTTAGAAAGAGAACCAACAAAAAAATAACAACAAAAAATCATCCGAACAATTAATGGAAACCAATGCAATAAAAAACAATTTGAGACGAAGAACTCACAGAAAATCGTTACGGGATTATATCTAAAGGAATATGATCGCGGAACGCAACGAAGACGTTGTGATGGGGTTAGCTTTGTCGTCTAGTGCTGTGGGTGGGGTGAGAGCTGAGAGAGAGAGGAGACAAAGAAGAAAGAGGAGGGGAGAAGATGGAGGGAGAAACAGAGATCGATAGACGCGCAAGAATAATATGTTTTTAATTTAAAATAATTAGGTGGTCAACACGCACAGACGCATGCAAGTTCGGTATTTCAAAAGGCCCATTCTTTTTTACTTAGGGCTCTCCTTTTTCATTGTTTATACTGGCCCCTGGCAATTGGTGTTTTTTAAATGTTTTCTTATTTTATTTGTAAGCAATGTTTTCAAAGGCGAGGTGTATAGGTGATGCGTTTTTAGTAGCGTTATGCGAGGCGTAAGCCTTTTGAACATTAAGTTATTTTAATAAGAAAAATTTAGGAATAATACAATACGATTAAATTGTACAACTAATTCTTATTCAATCATAACAATCTTTTAAATATAATTAAATATAAGTAATCATTGTCATTCAAAATATAATAATTAATCCCAAAACATAAAATATTTATTCAACATCAAAACAAAAACATAATTCACTCATCCCACTCCTCAACACTAATATCCACTACAAGAAAAAAGGTCTTTTGTGACCAAATTTTACGCGACGCTGAAAATTTCGTCACCTTTGGCTTGTATAAGTGAGAAAATTTTGCAAGTTGTCACCTAAACATCTTGAAAGGACCTAACAAAATTTTCACCCCATCTTCGTCACATTATAATTTCGGTGTCATCACAAATTACATAGCGGGAAATCTTGGCGCTCAATTTTTTACTAAATGTGACGAATAATGCACATTCATCATAGGACATGAAAGTGAGGATTGAAAATTTTAGGGCCCGTTCGGTAATGTTTTTAGAGCCTGTTTTCTGTTTTTGTTTCCTGGTTTTCACAAATACACGTTCGGTGCATCGTTTTCGTTTTCCCTCACAAAACATTTTCTGAAAACAAATCTGACTTTGTGAATAAAAGTTGAAAACGAAAAAAAGTTGTTTTCAGTGATTTCGTTTTCAGTTTTCTGAAGACATAAGAATGCATTCCATCAACAACTCTAGCTCTTTCTCTTGACAACTGATAAACCCACCAACAGGAACAACACCCATCTTCTCTGACCCAAAATAACACAAATCTGAGAACTAAGAAAAAAAATACAGAGGAAGAAGGAAACAAAAGAAAAACAGAGACAGGAAGAAGAACCACCGCATACCCAGCTCAACCACCATAATCACCCAATCAAACCACCACAACCATTAATTAGTGGAACGAGAGAGAGAGAGAGAGAGGGAGAGAGAGAGAGAGAGAGAGAGAGAGAGAGAGAGATGTGTGGGTGCATGGGATTCATGTCACGGAAGGAAGGAAGAATGGGTGCAGCCTGGGAAGGAAAGGAAGAAGAAAAGGGGAAGAAAGAAGGAAACATGAAAAAAAAGAGAAACAGACTTGCGAAGCAAAAGAAGAAGAAAAGAGGAGGAAAGAGAGAAAAGGAGAAAAAGAAGAAAAAAAGAAAGAAAAAAGAAAGGAGATAAGATAGTTTTTGTGCTTTAATTTTTTTCCATTGTTTATAATAATTTTAGCCTATAAAAATATCATAATTAAAAAAAATTAGAACTGAAATTAGCAAAAATAAACCTGAAAAACAGTTGTACTACCAGACACGTTTTCATTGTTTTTGTTTTCTAATTAATTTACCAGACGCATTTTCATTTCCTGAAAATGCAAATTTGTTTTCTTGTTTTCATTCTCTGAAAATACTCTCAGAAAACATTCTCCGAAAACGTTACCAGACGGGCCCTTATTGGGTGAAGATTGGCAACGTCACTTATGGCCCAAAATATAAAAAAATAAAAACAAAACCTAACGCTTCATTCAACGTAAGTCAAATGCTTCATCGTCATCTACACTAGCTGCGTTCTCATCCACAAACCACCGGCGACAACGACCACTCCTCCTCTCCGATGACGATGACCACTGGTCTCTTTCTCTCTCTCTCTCTCTCTCTCTCTCTTGTATTAGCTGAAACAACCTTTCAAATTTTATTTTGATTTTCAATTGAGTTTCTGATATTGGTTCTCTCTTACTATAAATTTGAAATCTTTAGGCAATTTGGTGAATTGGGTATTAGGGTTTGTGTTAATTTGTATCTGGGTCAGAGAAGTGAATTGGGGCTTTACTTTAGGGTCTTGGGAAAGAGCTGAATCGTTTTTTTCCCCCTTTCAAGAGGTGATACATGAATTGCTACTGAGTTTTGTTGAAGCTGGAGCTAATGTGTTGAGACTAAAAGGAGGGGGGTTTCTTGGACCTGCTTTCTTCCTCACTCAGTTGAGCCATATTAATTCTCCTGCAATGGCTGTTCTATGTATGGCATGCAGTCAGGTATGATTCTTGCAGTACATGGAATGAGAAAAATAAATATATGTTCCTCTTCCTTCTTTTGGAAGCTTTATACAATTGCTTAACAGTTCTTTTGTTCATTTTATTATTTTCTATCTTTTATTATTCATCAATATTGTTGCAGAGGCTTACAACAAGTTGCTTTGCCTGTGTAAAGGGCAGATGTAAGTCTTAGCTGTTTCCCTTTTCTTTTCTCACCATTTCATTTGTTATAGAAGTCTATTAGTGATTTTTAGTGGAGAAAAGATCTGTTTAATCTTAATCTCTTGGACGAAACTACTGTTGTTTAGGTATGGCTTTTGTATGATTGGCTGGGAAATTCCAAATTCAAGTCACAATTCCACTTTTAGGTGGAAGTTGTGTGCTATTTTATTTTGGCAACGAACCATTTATATTTCTTATGCATTGAACTTGTGCTATTTTAGGAGATGCTTTGGTATTGTATGTATGCTATTTTAGTAGAAAGTTCGGTTTATTATTGTTTGTTTTGTGTCCTTCAAATTTTCTTCTCTGTCTCTCTTCCTTTTCTTTTCACTGCAGTGTCTTTAAAGTTGTTAAAAAGAAGGAATTAATTTTTGCATAAAATTCTCGTGTTGTATTGAATATGTTTTGCATCTTTCAGGGCATATTTTGCAGTCAGTTTGCTGAGTGTGGTTACTCAGCTCCTGGACAACCCTAAACAAGATCCTCTGCGCATACT